AAAGTGCTTTCTAAACATTTCAGTCACTGAGCAGGGAACCACCCCCCCCGCACATATTAGTATTTTATATGAAATACTAGTAAATCCTCAAAATAATAGTAAGGTGATATTTTAACATTAAAAACGTTAAGACATGTAACTGTCAACTAGAGCATACAAAGAATGAGATACACCAAGAGAGCTTCAATTCTTGATTTGTTTTTTTGATAGCGAGCTTATCTATGCCTCTGCTGCTGGGTTATTAGCTATCATTTTCTTTACAAGTTAAATCAATTTAAAAAATTTATAGCAGGTGCATTTTAAAGATAAATACACTAATAGCGTGTTTATTTAAAATGGTTAAATGCTGTTTAGAAGAGCCAAAAAAGAGAGAGACACTGAAACTTATTTTGTGCTCTAGCTGAAGTATTACCTGGCCCAGCTGGTTGACCAAGCACTTCTGGCGAGGGGATGGTGGGGACAGGATCCTCTAAGCAGTCAAGTCTCAATACAGAATCATGTTGGTGGGACTCACTATTTATTTAGGTATCCAATATAAAACTCACTGATAGTTACACTAAAAAAATTAGAAAGTCACCAAAGATTAAGTTAGTAACTGTGTGAAAAATAAACACAGGAGGAAAGCTAGTATATTAACCAGCATTATTGGATATCATAGTCCATGAAAACAGTCTGCTTTAAAAAAAAAAAAGAACTGAATTACGTGAGATGTTCTTTCTCATTTAGAGTAAAAAACTATTGACACTTTTTTTGGCTGAAACAGTTATAGGAGGAGGTAGTAGACTCTTTAGGATTATAAGAACCTCAATAAGAGTTCAATTCAGACTAAATTCACTTTAATAGTTAACTCTTACACAGCCTACTTGTCTTTTCATGCACTAAAGCTGTACTGAGGCAGTTCAAATCACAATTTCCTGTTACAAACTGCTATTTTTTATCAAGTGAAATCTCTTTTATTTAAAGAAATAAAGGCATGTCAGATTCCTTCAGTTAAAGGGGTCACGGAAGACCTTAAAATAAATCAGCTCACTAACTGGTTAATAAATACAGGTATACCTATAAAGATGAAATGCCTCATAATTTTTTTTAAAAAAAAGATGCTCTTTATGTACTGATACAAAATAATTGCTAAACAATACTAAGTGAAAAAAAAAGGAAGATATATGATAGTGTATATAGTATGTTACGATCTGTATAAAAAGGGGGGAAGACTACATACATATTTACTTGTGTATGGATGGAATGAATACCTTTGAAAGGATTAAGAAATTAGCAACACCAGGATGACTGGGGTAGGAGATGACACATATGCACACTACTTTTTCTACATATTTATGGTTTGAATTATGACTCATCTGAATTATTAAAAAATAAAATTGGAAATATAAAACTGTAATATTTTTCTTTTCCATTATTTCACCAAGTGTGATCTCTCCTTTGCTTTATTGTGAATATATTCTGCCTTATTAGATGTGGCACCCTCAACTTCCTTCAGGACAGAAATAAGACAGTGTCATCATCTTTGGATTTACTGCAACTTCTGCTCCAGTGTATTAAACACAGTATATTAGTTATGAATAATTTTAAAATAGTAAACATTTGTTAAGTATTTGTGAAACGCCTGGCATTTAATATGCATTAACTTATTTAAACAGTTTACATGCGTTAACTTATTTAACCCCACATTTCTATGAGGTGGATATTGTACATTTATAACCAAGCAAATTGAAGTCTGGAGAAGAAACCTGCCCAATGTCCCACAGCTAGGAAGTTAAAATAAAGCTTAAAAATGAGTACCTATCACTGAGTCCCTAAGGAGGTACTTTATCTCATGACCCTATCAAGTAGGGGGTACTATTCTAATTTAACAAATAAGGAAACTGAGGCTAAGGAAGATTTTAAGAAAATTCTGGTAATTCACAAATTTCCCTGAGGGTAGGCACCTGACAGTAATGCCAGCAGGGATTCCAAACCTAATGCTCTCTCCACTAAGTACATCCTGTCACAGTAAACACTGAATATTTGAATCACCACAAATTGTTGCCTCAAGTAACGCTGTAGTAGAAATAAGTTCACATGAGTAAGGAAAGAAAAAATCCTTGCCTTTTTCCATTCTCTGTCTATATCCTTACATTCAGATTTGAGCTCTAACTATTCAATAAAAAGGTCACCATGGGGAGTGACACTGTACATCAAGAAAGACACTCATAAAACTGTCACAGGCTACTACAGACAAATGTATATAACTGTATCTATTAAGGTATCTCTGGATTAAATAAAATTGTAAATTTCAGTGATACATTGTAAGCATTAAGTTACTAGAAAATTTTTTCTACTGTGGAAGAGGAAAAAGATTTTAAATTGAGGTGAAGTGGGAAATACATACAGGGTGGGGCAAAAGTAGGTTTACAGATGTATGTGAAACAACTTATTTGTTATTATTTGTTAATTTATTGTATTATTTTCCTTATGACTAACTATAAACCTACTTTTGCCCCACCCTGTACTTGGTTTTACTATAACCATACTATACTCCAAAAAACAAAACCCAATGTCTTAGAATGAGACAAGATAAAGCTATTCTTCTGTGAACAAAAACTTTCATTTATCAGATCTAATCAAGAGAATAAATTTTAGAAAACAGAAAAAGGAAGGCGTCTTTTGTGAATCAGGTTTCTAAATTTCATTGCATTCTTATGTGGGGGGAAAAAAATCATTCAACAGGGGTACTACAGAGCTTTAAATCCCGTAAAATGTTTCAACATTTTTCAGTCAATTTGTTTCAAAGATTCATTAACTTTCTGAATACATGTGTCCATGAAAGAAACTTCAAGCAGATTTAACTGTAATTTTTACTGATCCCTGAGAGGGGATGGAGGTACAATTTAGTATCATGCTTCAGGTGAATGTTCAAATATCTATGACTATAAAAGTTGACAAGTTTCATCTGGAATTGCTGGAAATTACAGATTATGAATTTATAAATAAGGTTTAAATGATATTTTGGTACTTAAGAATCCATCAGGAAACTTTTTAAAAAACTTCACAAAGTAATAGTTATTGTCCTATAATCTCTGTAAGGGGAAAAAATGGACTCAACTGATGCTGGCTTGCAAAAATCTTTCTTATGAAAAAACAGTAATTTATAGCATCATCAGTACTGTATTTTTCTCAATGTTTCGCAATAAAATCACCTTCCCAATCCTTATGGAAAAACTCTCTTTATTCCATCTTCTTAAGTTTTTTTTATCAGTGACAAACTACTAATGTAATTTTTTAAAGACTTGCAACATAATAAAATGGGTTTTGGAAAAGTGATTTGGCTACAGAAAAATAAGACAGTGCTTCTATTGCCAATCAGTATTTATTCCTAACCAGAAACCTTGTAATGTATTAACCACAATTCTATCATAGTGTGACAGACCAAGTATTTTTAAAACAAATAATCCGTTCGTCTTTTGCACCACCTAAAAATAGCTGTTTTGGCTTTACTTTTAAATCAGGAAATAAACAGTGAGTGTAAAAGATTTCAGTAGCTAGCAACCAAAATTATCTTTTATACTAAGCCTTTATAAGGCAGAACTGATGTAAGTTAAGGCCAGAATGAAATTCTAGCTTAAGAAGGTAGAAGGTATTGCAAACTTAAATAGGTCATATTGCAGGTTTCTTTAAAATTTTTTATTTTTATCTTTAATGTGTCAATGACTTTAGTGTTGTGCCTTTTCCTGATAGGCAAAGAAAAATAAGCCTTGTGGCTTAAATTATTGTCTGTCTCAGCCTGGGGTTACCACCGTATTAAAGACAAATAATGGATATTTTTAAATGACGATTTTTAGAAATTAGTATTAATCAACATGTTTAAGTTTAAACAGAAATAGGTGGGAAATATGGTAGGAGGTGGGGTGGAGAGATCCAGAGGACCGACACGCCGTTGGCATGGTTGGCAAAAATACATAAGAAGTGATGTAAAGCAAAGTACATCGAGTTATAAACGAAGTGTTTCATAATGATAGATTTCAAGTGATTACCTTATTGAAAAGGGTTAAAAGCGAAACTGTTTTCAAACACCAGCTTCCCTTTTACAAGATCCCAACAGTTTTAAAGTTATTACAAATATGTTTTTCTTAACACCATCTTCCTCCCCCAAAAAGAATGCATTTCCATGACTACTGACTTTGAAAAAAAAAGAGGGTGAGGGAAAGTCAAAATTATCTAAAAATGCACAAGCCCTCACTATTTCAACTACGGCGAAAAAAACGGTGTTTTCCCCAATGGAGTAGGAGCGAGGGAAAGGGCGTGAATAAAATACAGCACGAGAAGAAACCTTTGGTTTCGAACTTTATTGCACAAAGAGAGCATAGAAGAGTAGGTCAGACGTTGCCGCGCTTCTCCTCGCGAAGCGGGCAGGGCAGACACGGAGGCTACCGGGAAGGCAGGCACCTTCACCTCCTCTGCCCTCAACAGTCGCCTCCTTCCTCCTCCACCCCCCGCGGGCACCCCGGCGGCGCTGCCCAGGAGGACGGCCGGGCCGGGGGCGAGGCAGGCGGCGGGGGCGGCGCGGGGGGCAGCAGCGCCAGGCCAGATCGGGCCGGGCGGGCGGCCTCCCCCGGGGCGGCTCCCGGTTCCCGGCTCCGCGCCCGGCCCGATCCGGCGGCGGCGGCGGGAACGCGGGCGCCAGCTCGCCGCGGCCGGCCGCCCGCACACAACCCCGGTCCCGGCTCCCACCCCGCCCGCTGCCCGCCGCCCCCCGCCATGAGCGCCGCCGCTGGCTGCAGGCAGAGTGGCTGCCGCCCCGGCCGCCGCTGGCTCCAGTCCGCCGCCATTATTCTTTGTTCGCTGCGAGCGGCGGCGATGTTGTGGGGCTCGGGCGGAGGCTCCATCTTTACCGCGGCCCCTCCTGCGATGGGAAGGCCCCGAGCGCGGGTGTCCGGCGCCTCCCCGTCCCCCCTCCGTCCCCCCGGCTCTCTCCGGCTCCTGCCTCCTCCTCCTGCTCCTCTTACCGGTGGTACAAGCTCCTCCGTCACTGCTTTCGTTCGCGGCCCGGATCTCGCTGGAGTTTTATTCTCTCCCCCACGTAACACACCGCGTCAAACTACACCTCCGCCGCGTCACTCACCAACACTCCGCTTCTCCCAGCCGCCCGGGCCACAGGCAGCAGCAGCCGCCGCGGACTGAGGAGCCGCAGCCAGGGAGCCAGCCAGCGCCGCCCAGTGCCGAGTGCGCAACGGCCGCGCACGGAAACAGCCGAGTTCAGCCCGGAGGAGCTCGGAGCGGCCCCGCCCTCGCGCTGGAGGCGGAACTTGCCGAAGTTCTCCGGGTTCCTTCGGCCGAGGCGGAGAGGTTTCGCCGGGAGTGGGAAGGGGAAGGTGGGCTGGAACCCGCCAGGGGCGGCGTGATATAACCCCCACCGCGGCGTTCTGTTGAAGAAAACCCGGCTGCGGAAACTTGAAGGAGGAAGTGGGGTTCGCGTGTGGCCGGGTGGGGAATTCCCGAGGGGTGTGGACGGCTGGATGGAAAGCCCCGCGCGGTTCTGGCCTGCGGCTGTAAGCGGCGGGCTTTAGGGCGTCTGCGGCCTGCCGGGCCAGGGCTCCGGAGCGCGGTCGGCCCGGGAAGTTTCGAACCGTGCGGGGACGTGGGAGACCCTCCGCCGAGTCTGGGACCGACTTGAGTGTGGAAGTCAGGCGAGGTGGGGAGGAAGGGCAGCTGCGGCTCTGCAAACGCCCGAAGTCTGGAGCAAGGTCGGGCTCGAACGCGAGGTTGCCGTGCAGCCCCAGCGCGACTCGGAGCTCCTGTGGGGAGGGCCTTTCCGCCTTTCTGGGCCACCAAGCAGCCCGGCTCTGAGACTCTGCTGAGAAACCTGGCGGCTGCCGCCGAGACTGTTCTATTTCGGGGGTGGGGGTGGGGACTTGTGGCACCTCCCGGGTTTCAACGGGCTGCGTGGGCAGCCGGGGTCGCTCAGAGCCTCCGAGCAATGGCCTGCCCTGACCCCGTGTCTTGGACACTTTTTCGAAATGTTTCCCCCTTTCCCCATGCCTGCCCGCCTTCTTTCTGGCACCATCCTGTGTCGCTGTCTTTTCACAGTCGGCCTTCTACAGCAGTGGTTTGCACCCACTGCACCCTTTTCTTCACGACCCACCCCCACTGTAAACCCGCCAGTGTGACTTCCGTTGCCTTGAGGCTACTGAAATTTCTCATAGGTCGCCCAAGGTCAGGATACTGACTTTTTATTCTCTTCTTTACGGAACTCTGCAGTCTTCCTTTCACAATTCTCCTTCTGCCCGTTAAAGCAAACCTGTCCTTTAGGAAGCGCACCGAGACGGTAGAGACCTAAGCTCCGCCCCTTATTGGCTGCCTGTAACGAAGGAACGGTTGCCCTTTCTGGTCTCTTAATTAGCTCCTGCCTTCTCAGGGTCTTTGGGCTGATGAATATCCATCCACTTTTCCTCCTATTATTTTCAACCTTTCCGACTCTACCGGCTTTTTCGTCTAGTGTTTTAACACGTTTAAAAGATTTCTCTCCTTAAATTCCTCTCCAACTGTGACTCCAGTTGTCTCTCTTACCCCATGGATCTCACGTCCCGCTTCTTAACTGTCCAGTCGCTTCTGTTCCTAACAGTCACCTGAAGCAGCTCTCAGTCACAGGCAAGCTTCAGCCATCATCTTACAAGACTTTATTTTAGCATTTGACACCACTCTGCTCTTATATCAAAGTTTTCTTCTCTGGTTATGCATTCTCTTTAATTTTCAGCCGAGGACATTTTTTGCATTGCTTTTTTTTTTTCCACCTAAAATGTCATGGTGTGCTTGAGTGTGATATTGTTATGTTATGGAATTACATGCTTATGATTTTGTAATAAAAGGATGTTATTTATGCTGGACCCTGTATTTTATTATTTTTTTTAAAAAAAATACAATCTTAACTATATATATTTTTTTACTTTACCATTTAGTCTCCTTATACCTCCCTCCCCCCAGCATTTTCATTGCTTTTTAGAGAGAAACATTGACTGGTTGCCTTCTCACATGTGCCTGACCAGGGATCGAAGCAGAAACCCTGGCATGTGTCCCTACCAGGAGTCCAACCCGCAATTTTTGGTCCACGGGATGATGCTCTCTACCAACTGAGCCATACTGGCCAGGTCTCTGGTTGGTCTTCAACTACCAGCTTCTCCTTTACCCAACTCTTAAATATTGGAATCCTACTGAGCTGAGCCCTCTTCTTGAGTCCCACCATTATCTACTCTCCTAGGTGGTCTCATCTTCTTGCCTTAGCTTCACATCCTCTGCCAAAGACCTTCCATCCTGTACTCAAATTTAGATCTTGCTCTTGAACTCCAGATTCATATTTCTAACTGCCATTGCTGCAGTATTATTTGGATGACTGGGGCATGTAAAACTTGAACTGTATGTGTTCCCTCAAAAACCTTCCTTCTATTGCCCTGGGATCAGTAAAAGGCATCCTATTTATCTACTCAGTTCAAGCCAGAAACCTAACATGCCTCTGACACATATCGGAATCACCTAGACATACGTGCCTTAAAAAATTGAGTTGTCGCCACTTTCCATTGCTGCAGCCACTTTTCCACATGCCACGTCAGTCTAAGCCACTTTCATGTCTTGAAATACTGCAAATAACTACCGTCCACGTCCTACAAAACTGTTCTTGCCTCATTCCAATTCATTTGCCAAACAGCAGCCGCAGTAATATTTAAAATACAAATCTGATCAAGTCACTATCCTGTTTGAATTCCTTCAGTGGCTTCCCTTTGCTTACTGAATACAGTCTAATCTTATCATGGAGACCAGGCCCTCCACAGGCTAGTCATTCTCCCCAGCCTCTCTAGCCCTCTGTACTCTAACCACATTAGTCTTAAATTTTTTTTTTCCAGGCTCTTTTCTCTTTTTTCCCTACTGTAGGCTCTCACCTCAAGTTATGGACATGTGCCATTCCCTTCCCCTGGAATTCTTTTCTGTCACCCACCCCTCCTACCTAAATGTAACTTAATATTTTCTTTTCTGATTTATCATACTTGGAATTTAATGTTCATGTAAGAACTGTACAGATAGGGACAATGTCTGTCTTGCTCATCACCAGCTTTCTCCTTCACTTATCCCTAGCACCAGCACAATGTCTAGAATGTAGTAATACTTGTGAAATATTTATTGAATAAGTAAATGTGTGTGGTCCCAGGATAAGTTCCTTAATATTTTTGGATTCAAATCCTGGCTCAGCCACTTACTAACAACGTGACTATGGACAATTTGTTCATTCTTGTGCCTCGATTTCCCCATGTGTAAAGTAAAGATAGTAGCACCTACGTTGTAGTATATGTGCCTCGAGAGTGGTCTCATGAGATGATTATCAAAGGCTTCAAGGAGAAAGTGGTACATGAGAGCTTTTCTCTAACCATGTCTTCCTTTTCCTGTTATTTTTCTCTCTTGCTTCCTCTGTTGAACCTAATTTTTACCCTCAGTAGAAACTCAAGTTCCATGGACCTTGCCTGTTCTGGTGCATCACCTTTCATGAGTTAATTTGTTTTCCTTATCTAACCCCAAGGCCATGGCGACCTTCCTCATTAACTCTAAAAATATCTGTTGAGCACCTGCTTTGTGCCATGTACTCTTAGAAACTGGGCATCAGTGCTATCAATGTTATCAATGTTCATGAAATAACCTTATGATTTGAATTGTACTTCCAAATAGTTTTCCAACAGAGAAAAGGGAAATGCTGATGTGCTACAGCTATTCTTGGTGTTTACCAGTTATGTTTCGCATGTAAATTACTGTATTTGCTTCTTCAAATTAATCTTAACCAATAACAACAAAAAAGCCCTCTTGACTTGACTTCTTTTTCTAGCTACTGTCCCGTTTATTTTTGTTCTTTTCGCAGAAAATATCCTTGAAAGAGTACTCTATTCATAGTCCCCGTTCCTTTTTTCTCATGTTCTAGCTAGCTCTTGCCCTCTGTGTTCCACCAAAACTGCTCTCGGTGCTACGTAATCCCATGGCCTGGTCTCAGTCTTCACCTCACTTGACCTATCAACAGCATTTGACACAGTTGATCACTCCCTCCCTGTAACACTTCCTTCACTTGTTACACTTGTTTCTTTAGTGTTATAGGACACTTCACATTGTCCTGGTCTTTGTCCTGTTCTACTGTCCCTCTTCCCAATCGCCTTTGCTCACTGGCCTCTTAATATTGGAATGTCCCAGGACTCTTGAGCCTCTTCTATCTCTTTCTCTCTTAGTGATCTCATTCCGTTGTATGGCATTAGAGATGAGAAATACACTCACAGCTCCCTAGTCTCAGATCCACACTTGTATATCTAAGTACCTCAGCATCTTTACTTGGATGTTTAATAGACCTCTCCATTTTATTATGTCCAAAACTAAACTGATCCCCTCTACTTCCTCCCCCCCCCAAAAAACCCTTCTCTTCTTACAACCTTGTCTATCTCAGTTTATGGCAACTCCGTCATTCCCACTGCAGAGGCCGACTCAGCAACTCTTCTACCCCGCACATCCAGTCTGTCATCAAATCCTGTTCAGGCTCTTCGAAATAACATGACCGCTCTTCCCCTCTCCGCCTTGGTTCAAGCCACTGTCACCTTTGACTAGGATTTTATATCAGCCACCTTTAACCTTCATTCTGTTCTCAGTACAGCTGTTTGCACGATCCTTTCAAAACATAAAGCCAACTATCCCACGATTCTGTTCAAAACTATCCAGTAGCATCCTGTCTTACATGGAAAAAGCCACATGTCTTACAGTTAGGCCTAAAAGACCCTTTTCCTGTCTGATCTCCTGACATTGGTTGGCTTAAATAAACAGGTCTTGCAAGTGTTCAGGTAATCCTTATTTTACTGAATGCCACAATCACCTAACTTTTATTACGGTGTATTGTTACAATTGTTGTATTTTATTATGGTTTTCGTTGTTAATTTCTCACTCTGCCAATTTATAAATTAAACGCTATCAGAGGTATGTATGTATGCATAGGAAAAAACAGCACATCCAGGGTTTGGTGCTGTGTGTGGTTTCAGGCATGCACTAGGGGCCTGGAATGCATCCCCTGCAGGTATGGGGGACAACTGTAACATGAAAGAGACGGAGACCTCTTTGAAGCTTTCTGGTCTCCCATGTCCTAGAGTAAGAATTAAATAACTAGTCAGCAAGATTCTGGTTGCTTTTCATTTCCATTTTGAGGATCAAATGAGAAGCTGCAGTCTC